GATTTTTTTTTCACAGATTATCTTTCTCATGTACTACTGTCTGGATGTAGTGACAGTTTCAGGAAATACAAGAAGAGTTATTTTAATTAGAGCTGTCAAAATAATGGGTTGATTTATATTAATTAAGTACAGAAAAAAAATCTGTGTTAAAAAAAATGAACACTGATTAATGGCGTTCCGTGGTGGACCCAGTGCATCATTGAAGGCCATCATGGCTTTGTGACGTGATGGAGGCAGACGAGATGACACTGCTTGGCCCCATGAATGGAACATTTACATTTAAAAAAACACCCATATTGAACTGTTGACAGGAGCACCGTTCTCTGCAATTTCTGCAGTAAGGAATTTTCATACTGTCAGAGTATGAAAGCCTGAAATATCACCTTGATGCAAAGCATTCAGCAGCAAACCCAGAGGTCCAAGCACGGCCTCTGATGCTAATGCTACCAGCCAGCTTCGTCGGGCAACACTTGACCAGGCGTTCAAATGCAAACTAAGTCTACCTGTGTCCGACTTACTAACTCCCTTGCCAAATGGGTCGCAAAGGACTGCAGACCAGTTTCAATGGTAGAGGACAGGGGGACAATTAGTCCAAAATCCAGCAGCTGTACTACGACACATCTGCCAAGATTAATGTGAATTGAATTTTTTTAAGTACTTTCACAGTGTGATTAATTTAGATTAATTAATCATAGAGCATGTAATTGGGTTACTTTTTTAAATTTACTTGACAACCCTTATTTTTAGAAGTTATCAACTGTAGCTTTATCAGTGTGGAACTGCCTTCTTAAGACAGAATTTTTTTTTTGATTTTTTTTATTAAACTAAAGCAGTCAAAGATCTAACAAGAGTTTTTTTTTGGGACATAACCTTGTGTTTGTTTGCCTCCATGCTGTGCTCGTTCAGAATAAGGTGCCTTTATCTCCCGATACAGCACTGTTGTTGGTATCAAAGGGCTCTAAGGTTAGTGATGCCAGATAATCTCATCTAGGTTAGCCATTTGGTTTCATGTTCTGTGTGTCCGGTAGTTTGCTTCCCTGTGCTTTATAATTTTGCACACAACCTTGCTTTATTGATTGCTCGTTAGTTAGTTTTAGGAGGGTTTTTATTTCTCTTCTCTGTGAAGTTTTTAGAGACGTGTAATGAAGGGACATATTGCACTGGAACTTTTAAATGTGTAGCTTGTGATAAAGACAGTAAGTTGAAACGTAGAGAAAAATGTTCTTAATTATAGTGCCTATATTTAGAGATCAATATTGGCAAATTAAAATATCACAAGCAGCACAGGCAAAACATGCACCCTGCCACAGCTGCTGCTGCCATGTTACAGGTAGCCATGGCAACTAAGACATTGTCTGCTGTAGCATGGGGATGGTGTTAAGCCGTCAATGTTTTTGATAGCAGAGAATGTCAGTCCTTTCTGATGTGTATGTTTGTTATGTGAATGCACACATCACTAGATGTGTGTATGTGTGTGTGTGTGTGTGTGTGTGTGTGTGTGCGTGCGTGTGTTTGAAATAATGCACTTTACTCATGAATCACCTTGAAGTCACCTTGCTTTACAGCCGAGGCCCAAAAAGGAGCCAGCCTGCTGACTTCTCTCCAGCCGTAGACACCAGATACCTGCATTTACATTGTGTGTGTGTGTGTGTGTGTGTCTGTGTGTCTTTGTGTCTGTGTGTGTGTGCGTGCGTGCAGACACAGTATTCCCTACATAATTTTATTCATGTCAGGGTGGAAAAGCCTCTCACTGAAAGTTATACCAGTGAAATTCTCTTAGCTGAGTTCACAGCTCCCTTAGGCAGTGCTGGGCTTCCTCTGGTGTGTGTCTGGGTGTGTGTGTGAAGTCATGCTAACCTTTATAACTCCACTTAGCATCATAAACACTTCTGTACAGCCGGCCAACTGGGGCTACCCACTTAAACTCACGACTCCAATCAGTGAGTCTCTAGTCAAATCAGATGTCTTTCAAGTTAAATTATCAAATGGCCATTTTCTATAGTGCCCGTGTTGTCGTCCACAGAACTACACATGATAAAAGTCTACGCTGGCAGTACATAATGAGCATAAGTTCACAGCATGTTCGCTGGGTGATTATTTAGAGAACACTGCTCACACTATGTTGTTGGCGAAGTTGTTAACTTTTACTTCTTACCTTGCTGCAGTGATGTAAGAAGTGAACGCCATGGCGTCTCTGCTGGGTGCGGTTACAGATACACACATAGACACACTGACCACACCCAACCACAGCTATCAGTGATGCTTGTTGTGGTCAGTAGTGCAACACATTTGAAATTTGAAAACACAGATTTTTCAAGATGGTGTGAAAGGTATACAATGCAGGCGTAGTCAATTACTGTTTGTATACAGTATCGCCAGCAATAACATCTCACTGGAACTGTATTTTATATCATTTCATGTGACAAATAAATTGATTGATTGAAAAAAGTAAAAATTGAAAGCCAACCACAGATTTGCTCTTGTTCGCTGAATTGGTGCTGTTTTCCTATCTTCCTCTCTTGGATGCTTGCTGCTTACAGTCTGGCACAAAGTTGCTAACCATTTCATGAAGGCCCCACCTCACCTGTGTGCTGTATCCAGCAACGTCTTGAACACAGCAAAATAAAACAATACAGGCAGATGGCAGGGTCCCACAAAACTAAAATATTAAATAAATTATAGAATTGTTTTTCTTTCAATTATTTCCTTATCTATGAACATGACATACTGCTCTGTTTTAAGGCTGGGTGTTTGGCTATTAGCGTTACTGTAAGTGCCACTGGAATTTTAAATGATGTCTTCCTGGAAGTTCTGGTTTACCTTCCACTGTCTATAAAACACTACAAGAAACCCCTCCACCCATATTGACATAGGCCTGGGTGTCGCCACTGATTTCCTGAATTGATTTAATTTCGATTCACAAGGCCCTGATTCAATTTGATTCCATTTGATTTGATTCATTATCAATTCAATCGGGGGTATTTCAGTTACAATACCTCTTTTTGCTAGAACGTGGAAGAGACGCTTAGAGAACCAATACTGTAAAATTTACAAGCAATTATTTAAAAGAAATTCAGAACAGGACTATAACTGAATATTTTATAACTGAATGATGTTTGTAGAGCAACAGCAGTCATATTAAAACAGCAAAGTCACAATATAAACTCAACATCTCACTGGAAACATATCTAAAAAGTCAATAAAATAAATGATAATCCTGACATAACAATACTGAGTGAAGTTTAGAAAGAATAAAGAACACAGACATCAGTCAGTATCAGTCCTCCTGTCCTCTCTGCTGCTGAGGAGACTCACTGCCTGCAGGTCACATTACTGTTGATAAGTTTTAAGATATGAGACAAACTGAGCTAAAACGTTAGACAACAACAGTTGTTGTTGTTTCAGCTTGTTAGTAACAATTTGCTATTAGCTGTAAAGCGCTCTGTGCTTGTTTATAACATAATATTGGCGGCGCTGGATGAGGGACTGCAGACAGAGCAGATTGAAATATCGCTTTTCTACATGTTTACATGTTGCTGATCATGCGTATTAATAAAGTATGGATTTACTCCAAGTGGAGGTTTTGTTACACTCACAGTAACAAGTGTAGTTGTCATCAGCTCAAGTTATCTTCACCTCTCTGTCTCCACCGCAGCATCTCTGCTCTGCGCTTGTGTGTCTGTGTGTGTGCGTAAAAGTGGCGCAGCAGCCGGGACGCACAGACAGCAGGAGGAGAGGCTGCTGCAGCATGATAATATATTACACCAAAACATAAAAACAGTACGCTAACAGTTACAGATAAAAGAAGTGGTATGTTGGAGCTTCTCCATACTATGGTAATTATTAATTTAGCGCAGGGGCCTGTTTACTACTGGTGAGATAAACAGGGTTACAGCCTCACACATCTGATCGATCTTGGATTTTATGAATCGATTTCGGGTCATTTAAATATAGATTGATTTGAATTGGATAAATCGATTATTTAGACCCAGCCCTAGTTTTTGGGTTGTCCATCTGTCTCAGTCTCATGAACGTGATATCTCAAGAACACCTTGAGGGCATTTCTTCAAGTTTGAAGGTTCAAAATTAAGACAAATGTCTAATAGGATAAAATGATGAAGTGATGACATTTTTCTATCCAAAAGAAAGTACCACTTCACTGTGACGTCATAATGTTCAGAGGAGGAGACATTGAGTCACATACAGAATTGGTGACACTAATGAGGTGTCCATCTTGAAACTGTGCTGATTGTAAAGATCGTCTGTGCTGCTGGGGGGAAAAATGTGTATGAAGCATCCATGTTTTCGCAGACATAGACTGTAACTGCGACTTGAATCGTGCATGAAGGCATACAACTGCGAGATGGTTTTTCTGGTGCTTGATCTAATTGAGATATTTAGATTCAGATTGCATGTTAACACCAGATTCATATGGGTTATTGGACTGTCTATCAACCTTACATCAGTGGCAGCATGAAATTTGGGTTTGGCCCTGATTTGAACACTTGTTACTTGTTAATTTGTTTTTGTGAAATTGGCCCACATCAGGATGACTGCTACATAATTGCAACAGTTTAGATCCCCTTGTGAGGAGCCAGCGTTTGTGCAGTTCTGTTTTAAGCTTGAGCCGCAGTGTCTGAGAATGTTGACAACTGAAAAGCATCAGGGAGACTGAAGTGATGGGTAGGGAAATGCAGTCCACTGCATTTGAACCATGAGTGACCCAGTTAGGAGGTGAGCTCTCAACAAATCGAGTCAGCTGGGAATGTTTCTGGTTTTGTATTCATCTGCTGACAGCTCCTGTCAAAGTCTGTACACACCACAGATCTGCAAGACAGTGATGGTTCTGAGTCTTTTCACTACAGTGTTTCTATTCATCACAATGTTGATATGAACGCTGTGATAAGCTGATGAGTCATTATTGCATCATAAAGCTTGGAGACATGACCACAAACACTTTTTTATTCACATCCTGTGTTTTCTTTCTCTTATTTTTGCAGAATATGGATAAGACACAGCTTCCATCCGTGACGCTGATCGTGGGCTGTGGAGTGTCTTCACTGACATTGTTGCTGCTCATCATCATCTATGTGTCTGTCTGGAGGTAAGACAAAGCATTGTTTAGCATTGGGCTGTGATTAATGCAGGTAGAAGCGTTAACATCAGACCAGTAGTTCAGCAGGTGCAAGGACATGTACAGTACAGCATGCACGTTGATACATATCTATCAGCTAACCTGAGACATTAAAGAGGATTGTGTTATTCGGAACAAGTTGAGATGACTTAGCTAGCATGGGCTTGAACAGAAGTTCAAATACAAAACATAGAGATAACATAACCGTCCTTACATATGCAACTTTTTTTCTTCTCCGGAGTTCCTCCTGTCTTCAGGTTGAACTTTTGCATTCATGTGTTTTACAGCGGAAGTCAAATAAACAGTATGCTGCTGTTAAGGTCTTTAACCTGCAGTTCAAGGACATGCAGCACTAGAAAAGTTAAAAAAAATACTTAATGAAAGTTGTAGATGACTGTGATGGGTCATGCATATGGACTCGTAAACGCCACGCCATTTTAAGCTCTTTATGAAGGGGTACGTAATATGAGCCTTCTGACAGTACAGACAATATGGGTTGCAGAAATATGCCCTAAATAAGTGGCACTCATCCTGTTCTCAACCAGGTTGTCAAATACAGATGCTTTGTCACACCCCTTAGCTTCTAATAGTGACGTAAAGGGAATCTTATGTGATGCACAACTGAAACATATTGTAACATGGTTAATGTCGTGAAATGTTGTGCTTTGTTTTAGGCAAGTTGTTTTAAGTTCAGAACAAAGATTATGTTTTGAATCAGAATCGGAAATCCTTTTTTGATTCCTGAGGGGAAATTGTGATCCATTACAGTCACTCTGATGTAAAGAATATAGAATTATAAGAAGTAAGAATAAGAGTATGACATATAAATAAGAGGTTTATGTAAATATAAAGCAATAAAATAGAATTTAGCAGAATTTAAAATGTGCATTAAAAACTAAAATAAAATCTTCATTATACTACAGTGTTTAACACTAATACTTAAGATATTAAAAATATTATATATATCGTCACTGTGCTGAGGCTCTAAGTGTGAAAATTTAACTACCTCTTTAACTTCAAAATAATAAATAATATAAATGCATTTGTTACGTGATGTACCATGATCTAAATACATCACTTGAATGACATAAGTGAGCAACTACTGAGCATAAATTGCATAATGTTAGGTTAAAACAACAGTGACTTTTAGTTTCACATGGGTCATCAACTGTGGTCTCCTGGGTGAAAGTCCAGTTTTATTTGACCCATCCACCTCCACTCCCTCCCACCCTTCACTGACTTTCTTGCTCTTTATACCAAATCTTAAACTCTCGTCATTAAGTATTGATGCAGATTGGTTTACATTGGCTTTACCTGAAAACCCAGTGTGTCTCATAAAGACGCTAAAGGGTGCCTTTGGCATCAATATCATAAGCAGAGGGGCATGACAAAGCTTCATCCTTGAAATGAGAACGCACATGACTGTTTGTCCAGTGGGTAAAGTGCTGAAATGTAAGCCTTCTCCATTTCAGTTTTAAAATAAGGCAGATAATGCAGTGTGTCTACTAGCATGCTGATAAAGGTCAGACTGATGTGGCAGCCTGGTGCCAGGCCTCAGAACCTCACTCACTTTTCCTTTTTATTCAGCAAGTATGTGTGATGCAGTGCTTATTGGTGGATTATGATGTGCGTCAAAACACCTGCACCCTTTGTTTTCCATATGTCCTGCACACTGGCTGCATTTTGACACTTGTCACTGGGGGTTATTGGATGTTGGCACATCCTGGCTACAGTACCCTTACTATTACTTCTTGCTGTATGACATGATTGGTGTGATTTATGGGTATCATTTGACACAAATGGAACTGTGGGACAGTCTACAATGCAACAGATGTTTGGTGGAAATCATACATCATCCTTCATAGCTAGTTAGCGAGCTAGCTAGCTACATCCATGAAATTAGTAGAGGAAAACTGCCCACAAAATGGGGACAAGCTTAGATGACATCAGTGCAGCCGTACAGGTTGCTGTAAGTTGAATTGCAAAAATAACAGCTCTTGAATTTCCGTATTGATTGATTGTTGTAATAAATGTTAACCTAACTATCCATAGAAAACTGCTACTCCAGCTTTTTTGTCCACTGAAAATGACATCAGCGGGACAGATACATCTTGCCACTGAGTGGTAAAAACAAAATGCCCCAATGTCTGGCTGACTAAACAAAATGAAAAAGTATTCAGTGTGACTCTCCCAAGAGGTTCCAAGTGGACCTCATGTCTGGTGACCCCAGATCTCCAAGTCAATGGGAAGAGAATCCCCAGATGTAAAGTGCCTCACTTCCTTTTCTACCACAAAAGTATAAAAGTTAAGATGCTACTACTTTTACAGTTGATTTAACTGCCTTTTGCTCAGAGTGGCAGGGTAAAAATATCTTCTGTGTAAACAAATCTGCTCTTAGTGAAATAAAATCCAAGAAAGCCACACAAAGACACACAAAGCTTTTACTGGGCAGACATGAGTGTATCTTTGGACTTTAATAAAGACGTTTGTTACTTACATTAGCATTTTCACATCAAGATGTGAAAAATAGACTAGTATCCAACTTCAGCTGATATGTCAAAGATTAGCTTGTTGTATTTGATGTTTTTATGTTTGTGAATGAAGCAACTCTACATCCTGAGCAGGAGGGAGGTAAAAAAAATAAAAATCTGTATTTTATGTATACATTTAGAGAGTTAAGGGAAACATAATTCACCAAAATCAAATACTGATAATAACAAAACATGGAGCTTTATGTTTATTGGTTTCACACAGCTTTATAGGGCTAACATTAATGTTAGCTTTTTTGCATTTTTGTATGTTAAAAGACAAAGCATTTTCCAATTTTGCCTCTCATTCATTAGTGATGCACAATATTGGATTTTTTGCCGATATTTGATATGCCAATATGTAGCAACTTTTTTGACCGATAACCGATATTAATATAAATCCACTTTTTCCCCCACCTAATTTTGGGGGCCCTTTGGGAGCAACTTCACGTCGATGCCTTGCTCAAGAACACTGGGACACGTGGATAGGAGAAGCCGGGGATCAAACCGTCAACCCCGCTTGGGCTTTCTGGTTTGGCTGCACTGGTCAATGGATGACCCATCCTACCTCCTGAGCTACAGCCACCCAACAGGAAAGATTTCTAGCTAGCTTTAGCTGTACTGGACTTTGTTATGCCAGTCAAATCAGATTTGGCTGTTTAATACAAATATTTTACTATTCTTTCTTTTCCATGAGTTCGAGAGTTGGAACAGAATTTGACTGGACGTTCAGCTAGGTTCATGTAATATAGTAAACAATCCAAGTTAGCCTTCAGAGCTAATGTATGCTAATTACACTAACAACAAATCAAAAATGTGCAATATGTTTTGTTGACACTAGATAACAAATAAAAGCCAGAGACTGTATCATACTAAGTTGCTGTGAGCTGTGAATTCACAGCTTCTAATCAGAAGGCAGAAGATAACATTACTTTGGAGTCTGATCGGGCAAAGCCTCTCTTCCTCCAGCCAGCTGCCTCTGTCTCTCACAGACTCACCCAGGGTCTTGGTTGACAGCTGCTTGTTCGGGAGAGCAGTGTGAAAGGGAGGAGCGCTTACTCTGCAGCTACATCTGGGGACCGAAATGTCCCCAGAGATACACTGCATGACTGACAAAAAAAAAATCAATAACAACAATACAACTGCTCAAATTTAAGAATCTCAGTTGACTGAGGGGCCTCTGACTGATGGATCGAATCTTCGTCTTACAATATTGTAAAGCACCAAGTGTCTGGGTACCTGACAGGAAGTGATGCAGTCATGAATGGGGACTACTACTATCATAGACCTTTTGGCCCCAGACCTGAGGTCCACTGTTGGACCCTTCTTGATTATTGTGGACCCCAGGAAGAATTACTTGCTACCCTGGTAGCAACAAATGGGGATTCAAGTTAACAAACAAATCAGGGTATGAACTATGTCCCATGGAAATGTTACCTGACACTAACATAGCTTGGCAACAAGTCTCAAGTCAAGTCAACTCTTGGCTGCAAAGGGGAATACCTGAAATAGCATGTCAAACACAAAATGCATGGTTTGCCATCAGCATCTGAAGAAAGGCTTAAAACTGAACACTGTATGATGTCGGCTTTAAGTCTGTTAGGTTAGATTCAGCCATGGTAAGGGTTTGATGAAAACCATAATCTTTGTTTTCTTTTGTTCTGTCTCTCTTCTGTCACTTTCCTGTAGGTACATTCGGTCTGAGCGCTCAGTCATCCTCATTAACTTCTGCCTCTCCATCATCTCCTCCAACGCCCTGATTCTCATTGGACAGACACAGACACGAAATAAGGTAAGCACCAATCCCAAAGCCAGCATATTGGTTTAGCATGTACTTAATGTCATATGATCACAGTGATGCAGTTTGCCTGATTCAGTACTTGGTGCTCATTTTTTTTTGCTGTCTCTTCCTGGTCTTTCAGGTCTTGTGCACCCTGATAGCTGCATTTCTTCATTTTTTCTTCCTGTCCTCGTTCTGCTGGGTTCTGACAGAGGCGTGGCAGTCGTACATGGCAGTGACGGGCCGCCTCAGAAATCGCATCATCCGCAAGCGTTTCCTGTGTCTCGGCTGGGGTGGGCCTTCTGTCTTGTGTCAGTCATGTCTGCTCTGTCTCATTTCCCCTGTATTAATATGCATTTTAATTTTCCTCCCAGGTCTCCCTGCACTAGTGGTGGCAATCTCAGTGGGATTCACCAAGGCAAAGGGATATGGAACACCAAGCTAGTAAGCACACTCTCTATAGCGCCAATATTGTAGAAACCTCCACCTCCTTAACTATTTATGCAGGGATATTACACGTGGTTGGGGGGTTATGTTTGCTGCATAATTAACCTCTCTCCTTCTCTGTCTCATATATCTTTAACCATCCTCACTGTTGCCACCTTTCACCTCATTCTGTTCCTGCTATTTACAACCCTTTGTATTTCCTCCCACTCCCCTGCCTCATTCCTCCATCATCTCCATTTCGTCTATTCATGTCTCTCTACATCTGTATTTTCCTGCTCCTCTCTTGTAGCTGCTGGCTGTCTCTGGAGGGAGGTCTTCTCTATGCATTTGTTGGACCTGCTGCAGCTGTTGTCTTGGTATTTCCTTTTTCCTCTACAGTTTGTCTTTGTGGGTTTCCTTATAAAACCTCAGTTTCAGTCACTTTTATAAAAGCATCTTTAGTCTGCTTGTATCTATGCATAATAGTAATAATGATAATAATCATAAAAAATAGTGAGAGGGATTTTTTAATTGACAATTAAACCAAAATATCAGATTAAACACAAAATTAAAATGGTAAAAAATAAAGACATTGTCAGCAGGTCAATAAAAGCCTTACAAACATATGGCCCAGTCATATAATGGGGTTCATTTTAACCCCTATTTATATATATCATTGTTTGTATAAAATAATATTATGTTATATATATACGTATTTACCTTATTTACCTTGATTTTTCTCCCTACACCTTTCTTTTCTCCCTTGCCTTTCCTTATTTTTCTTATTCTCTTCCTTTACCACCCTGCCTCCTCCTTTCCTTGAGGAAACCTAGTTCCTTGTCCCTAGGTCTTCCCTTTATTTACCTCATATTTTCCTGTCCCACTTCCTTCTTTTCTTTCCTGCCTCCTCGTTTTCTTTTTAGCTTTGTCCTTTACTTCCCTGCCTCCTCCTTTCCTTGCCAACATACTCCTTTAGTTCTGTGCCTCCTCCTTTCCTCCTTAATTTCCTCATTTCCCACCCCATGTCCTCCTTTACCATGTTTACCTTATATTTTCCTTCCCTATGTCCTTCTTTTCTTTCCTGCCAACTCCTTTCCTTGTCAACATCCTCCCTTAGTTCCTTGCCTCCCTCTTTTCTTTTGAACTAAATTTCCTTCCCTAGGGCTTCCTTTACCTTATTTACCACATAATTTCCTTTCCTGCTTCCTCCCTCTCTTATTTGCCTCCTCCACTTTGTTCTTTACTTTTCTGCCTCCTCCTTTCCTTGTCAACTTCCTTCTTATTTTCCTCATATTTTCCTACTGTACATTCTTCTTTTCTTTCCTGCCTCTGTCTTTCCTTATTTACCTCATCCTTTACTTCCGTGCCTCGTCCTTTCCTTGTTAATTTCCTCCTTTCCTTGACAACGTCCTCCTTTAGTTTGTTCAGTCTTTCTTTACCTTATGTTGCTCACATTTCCCTTCCTACTTCCGCCCTTTCTTCCCTGCCTCCATCATCCCCTGTCAACCTACCTTGTCCTTTATTTCCCTGTCTTTTCCTTTCCTTGTCAACTTTCTCCTTTCCTTGTGAACATCCTCTTTTAATTCCCTGCCTCCTTCTTTTCCTTGATAACTTTCTCCTTTCCTTGTGAACATCCTCCTTTACTTTCCTGACTCTACCCTTCCATTGTTAACTTCCATATCTCCTCTCCCAGGTCTTTCTTTATCCTTTTTACCTCACATTTTCCTTCCCTACTTCCTTCTCTTCTTACCTGTCTCTGTCTTTCCTTATTCACTTCTTCCTTAACTTTCCTGCCCACTCCTGTCTTTGTCAACTTCCTCCTTTACTTTCTGATTCCTCCTTTCCATCTTAACTTCCTCATTTTCTTCCCCTGGCCTTCTTGTACATTATTTACCTTATCCTTTCCTTACCTATTTCTTTTTTTTTCTTTCCTGCCTCCACCTGTCCTTTATTACTCCCCCCTTTCCTGTCTGCGTTTTCCTCATTTATCTACTCATTTCCTTCCTTACCTCTTTCATTTCTTTCCAACCCCCTCCTTTCCTCATTTCTCCCCCTTTTCCTCTCCTGCTTCTTCTTTTGGTTATTTACCTCCTTTTTTCTTAACACATTGGTTTTATTTATGCTTTGTTATTAAGCATTTCTGATGTGTCAGGTTGTGTTTTTGGCCATCTGCTTAACTAAAATCATTATCAAAACAAGCTAACTTTAGCTCTATGTTTAAGTACCCAAAAAGTACCATATAGATAACAGTTTATTTTGCAGTGTCGAGGGTGAAGATTGGATTGTAATTAGCTAATAATAAATAATTTAACCCCCCTGTATATTTTGGTATAGCAACACACATAACTACTATTTAGTCTGCATACCATAACCATAAAAATACTATCTTCCTGTTGGTTAGCAAATGTTTGTTAAAGCATATCTTAGGATACCTCAGACATTACTGTAGTGCATGCTTCTCCAATGCTCTCCCAAGTTAAACCAGTATAGCATATAATGGACAGTTACATGACTGAATTTATGCACACTGGGGTCAACTTCTCCTCCTGTACAGCTGCTGTTGAAATAGAACAAGCAAAGTCTTAAGTAACCATAAAGAAACTTGTTAAAACAAATGTATCTATAAATTATCAGCTCAACTTTCCTGGTGTTCAAAGTACGTCTGGGGTCACTCTCAGACATAAACCCTGGCAGTGACACTGTGTCCTTGTTTTACTAATCAAATCCATTAGCTTCAGTTTCACTGATTAAATTCCCAGTGCTTCTTTCCCACCTACCAGGGAACAGCTTGTTTTGGGTGTCCCTTTTTACACAAGCTGCTTCTCTAATAAAGAGCTACTGCTCCAACTGGCAGCCATACTGGAGGCCCGCCCCACTCTGAACAGCATCAGAGTGGTTTGTACAAGATATTTTTATAGGCTGTGAACCCTTAAACCAGAAAAAAATTGAGGAATCCCTCCAGTCAAGGACACCCCCCACCCCCATCTTTGATTTCACATAGCTTATATTTTATGCATGATTTTTTTTCCCAGCACACTACACATTAAAAAATGTATTAAAATGTTAGCAATCCATCCTTTAAATCATCTCTTAACTCTCATGCTTCATTGAATGCCTGATAGTTTTTGTCACTAACATTTAAGAGTCTAGCATGTACAGTGCAGAGCCTACAGTAAGTGCAGTTAGTGTGTGTGTAGTAGATGAGATTTGTGCGCATGCTGCCATGGTCATCATCACCATCCATCATCATCATCAGAGTAGATGTGCATGTTCTGAAGTGATAAAACTGTCTGTGTTCTGCTTTAATCCTGTGCCTCTTCTCTTTGGCAGGTTAACATGGTTATTGGGATTCTCGTATTTAACAAACTGGTGTCCAAAGACGGCATTACTGATATGAAACTAAAGGAGAGGGCGGGGTATGCCTTATACCACACATCCATTTTACACAGTGACCTATAACCAGCCTGGTAGCTCAGCTTGGGGGAGGGACATAGTGCAGTTATTGGCTCTGAATTTATCCTCAGCTATCATTTTAGACTTTGGCAAATTGGTTGAAGATGACGCTTAATTTTTAACTCTAGGAGGATGAGGAGGACCAGAAAAAAGATTGTGACTCAACTAATCAAAAATGATATAAGAGACCCAAAGAAAATGTGTTTTCTCATATATGATCAATGCGTCTGGAGGATAGAAGAATGTTAGACAGACCAAGAAAGATGCGGGGAAGGCTGTCTGGTTATTGGTCCTGCACAGACTGAGCAAGATGATGATTCATCTCATTGCTTTCTTTTAAGTTTCAAATGTGTCGCATTTTCCTCCAGCTGCTCTTTGTTTGCAGGTGTTGCTATTGATGTCAAGTTTCTGTAAATCCATCCATGTCTTTTTTTTTCTCCTGTTTGGTTATTTCTGGTAGAGGGAAGCAGGGCTTTAAAACAGCAAGATCCAACTACAAAGGAGATACTTAAGGCAAAATACAGTTCATCGCAACTTGGGGTTGATTTTCGTAGCTCTGGCCGTTGGATTTTGTTAGTTGGAATAAGATTGTACTTAACAAAGTAACGGCATAGACTGAGGAATGCAGTGACATTGTTTAAAAAAAGGAAGAAGAAAAAAACGCTTCTGACTTCGCAAGAGGACTCTGCACTTACTTTGGTAGTACAATGTTTTGACAAGCATCATTACTAACATAGCTAATGACCAGTTTGCTGCTTTAAAGTATGCAGCTATTATCAGGCTTTTATAAAAAAGGAATACTCCAACATTTGGGGGGGAAAAAACGAGATTGCTTAGAGTCTGACTTATTATATATAGAGTTTAAGTTTAAAGAGTCTCTTACAAATTTAGGTCCTAATGATGTTGACAAGTTGGCAACTTTCTCGGTAGATTTCCCAACTTTTCAGACCCACTTAGGGAAAAAGTGACTAGCACCAATTAAGTGAATTATTCAGATCATCAGAAGAAAAGTGAGAAACATATTCAAGCGTAATGTGTGCTGCTCAGAGTTATCGCAGTCCTTGAGTCTTACCCAGCAATAATCATGGCATATCTGACTGTAACAAAAAAATATCAAAGAAAATAGGAAATTCTGAATTTAACAATTTTAATAGTTGATTTCTAGTTATAGAATATTTGATTTATCAAATAGGGGATTTATAGTTATAGAATAAGCATTTAATTTTGTTAGATGTTATTGAATGTTTTACAAAAAAAGAAAGAAATAAACGGGATGGAGATGGGTTTGCCTTTTTCAATAGCAAATGGCACTAATTTTAATTCAGTGAGAGTTGTTCTGTGAACACTGGCATATCATCAAAGTGGGGATCATTCATAAGGGCCCATTATCGACTCAGCGCATTGTTGGAGGGCCCACTCTCTCCCTTGGCCCCCCAACTCACGGGCCCCACTTCAACCACACTGCCTGCACTATCTATATTTACACCCCTGGTTGAGAATTTTTGTATTGCATCTGTGCAATGCACTGTGATTCAACAAAATTAAAATGAGTGCATGACGTTATCTGGTGACTTAAAGTGAGCTAGTGCTAGCTCCTTTCATTGGAGCAGAGTTGGAAACACTGGTCCAGAATGTGTTTTTAGCCAAGATAAGCACAAATACTGAACGCAAGAGAAACTGCAAACCTAACACTATCAAAAATATAGTTAGTAAGTGACTAATAAAAAAATACACCTTCCACCAACATCAGAGTTGTTGTTTCTTAATATGAGATATTGTGACAGTAGGTAGGAAGGAAAGTAGCAATACTACTATTTCGTGCTCCTGTACACACAACACACTAGAGACATATGATGCACATCAAAGGGCACATACGGCGATGTGATGTGCATTATTGCGCACTGTTGCACGTGATACATTGTTGTCCTATATCCCAGTGCTGACGACTTTATCACACTGAATATGAATATCCAATGTATGAATTCATGTTTTATCTCAATGGGTAGTTCTTCAGTTTATATGAAGTTTCAGTGGGTGCATCAGTTAACATGTGTCTAATGTTGACATTCTATAAAGCTGCCGTTTTGTGTTTCACTTGAGGGTGAGCTCACAACTTAACAATGTGGGGCCACCAGCATGTGGGCTCAGCACCCACAGGGAGAGGTATAGTGTTCTGGTCCTTCGCCAGTCAGACAACGGGTAAAGAGCCAGTGCATTCCGTAAATTTAATGTTAAATTTCCACAAAATCTCTGCAGAAATTTCCGCAAAATAAATGTTGGCGTTGTAAGTTTTTGCAAACCTAACATGTGCATGTTATTGTGTAGTGAATATCTTGAAACTTTCCATTACCTATGTTTAAACCGTGTCATGTTTTTTAACGTGGTAATGTTAAGGCGCAAAACCACTTGGTTTTGGTACATAAACGATCATGTTTTGGCTTAAAATACCTACTTGACTGCCAAGGTCTCACTAAAAAACACTTGATTTTGGTGGCACAATAATGCCTTGAAATGCAGCCGCTGCTGCTTAAGAACAACTAGTTTTGTTGGTCTCAAACAGTGATCTGCAGTGGTCTGCAGCTTGGCAGTCATCTCCTCTGGGAGTCACACCATTCACCATCCCCTCCATCTCTGGATGAGTAACTAAGCTCATAAACATGTAATCAGAACTACGCCACTTTACAAATGCTGATATAATGTGTATGAAATGTTCAAAATTAACGTTGCCAAGGTTTGCAGAAATTTACAATGCCAACATTTTCTTCTGGCGATTGGACTTGACCATTGCAAATTGGAATAAGATAGTGTGGTTTTGCAGCAGTTAGCAGCAACCACTTGAGCTTTACGGCTGCACACAACATCTAAAGGCCCAGACACACCAAACCGGCTTCAGAGAACTAGCTGCTACGAAGGCCCCCTGCAACTTCGCCTCACTTTACCGCGTCTTGGTCAAAAAGTTGCACATGAACACACAGCAAAAACAACAGTCAATAAACATGTCCATTGTGCACCTGCATGAGAGGAAATAACTCCACACAAGCAGACTGCGGTAACCTGTGTTTGTCATCCAAAAAGAGAAACAGGAAGACCATTCTAACGCTTGTTAGCCATTTAGTGCATTAACAACACAATCCAGTGTTGAAAGAACAGAGAATATTTAACATTTCTGCTGATGAGCTTCATGGCTAAAAAAAAGAATAAAATCTTACCTTGTGGAACAGGTTTGCTGGACTGCTCTTTGTTTACTTTCCTCACCTCCATTTCTGCTTTTGTGCACTGAGCTGAACTGCCAATCAGAGTGATATAATCCTTCAACATCCTCAATTAAACATGCTGAATCAGACAAAAAAAACAGCCGAGCCGACAAGGGGCAACAGTGTGGACACACCACACTGACTAGGGCACCAGACGCTCAGCGACAGCCCAACATCGACTGGCTTGGTGTGTCAGGGCTTTTAAAGGTTCTGTACTTGTGGGGTCACCAGGTTTGAGAATTGTCCCAAACTCTAGTGACTCTTGGATGTGTGTGACTAGCTTGCTTACTAACAGGATATAACTTACAATGACAGCTTTGATGTTTTTTTCTTCACCTTTGAGTGAAGCTGTTTCTACCAGCATTCTGCTGTTTTATGTTACTCTAAAACACTTTCCAAAATCTGGATCATTTATCTCATCTGACTTCAGGTTTGGTGGCAAAAAAAAAGCATATTTTCCAAAATGTTGGAGTGCTCCTTGAAATGTTTGATATAAGAAAACTTGCAATTAAAACTATTCTTTGCACACTGTCAAACTAGGTTTTTTGGGGGTTTTGTAAAAGTGAATGGTAAAGAGCACATCATTTTTTTTAAACACAGTCACTAACTGCTGCTGACTTGAGTCTAAAAATGCCACTGGGCTGTTGATATCAGCTTTTCAAAAGTCAAACCACAGAGCTCACACGCGCCCTGCTCCCCTTTACCCCGCAGGCTGTTCTGTCTCCATTGGCATTGTTGGTGCATTCAAATGTTATTTTCTTTTTTTCTCTCTGAAAATGTTTGCTTTCTTCAATGATCTCTCTGTTCAACTGTACTTGTTTTTGCTGTCTGATATGTCATGTTTGAGTTTGCACAGAATCCCCTCTCTCTCACTCAGGGCTCTCCAATCAGGAACACATCAGTCTCAGAAGCCCCCTTCCATGTCATCAGTGATTGGGTAAAAAATACCTGCCCACTCCCTCCCCTTCTTAATGTATGGCTACCAGCCCTGCCCATCACCAAATCTGCTGAATCCTTTAGCAAGCACCTCTGATTGGCTTACTATTACTTCCTGCCTATTTACCTCACTATTCCACTATTGACCTTGCAGCGTATGCTACCTCCTGTTAGCTGGATAGAACATAACACATTGCTGCCTCAGGTTCTGACAGTACCTGGAATGCTTTTAGAGAAACTGTGACTGTTTCACCAATAACACATGCTAGTTGCAGTGCTGTAATATTAATATTTTCTGTTTACTGAAATGGTGTGGGCATGTGTGTGTGCAAGGTTAGTATGGTCATGTCATGATTGCATCTGTAGAGTGTGTATTTTGCGTCCGATGGAATAACTTGTAGAAAGGACTGCTCATATTGAATTGGAGCCCTTCTTCAGTCTGAATGTCACCTCAGACTGTTTTCCCCTTGGCTCATTTGGTTTTCTCACAACCAGTGCTCAGACAGCATTGTTCATAAGTCTTAAAGCTGCAGTTGGTAACTTTAATGAAAATAACTTTTTGCTGAAATTGCTTGTATCTCACCTCAGATGTTTACAGAAACATATTTTGGTGTAGGGTTCTGCTGTAAAATGAGAAAGTTCGCTCCAGCCAGTGGGCAGTGCTTTGTTTTTTTAACATGGCAGCCTGGTGACAAACTTTTATAGAACCCCTTTAGTAGTCTGCCCCAGGGTCTACCCGCAATTGGACTTGCCTGGAACACCCTCTCAAGGAG